AAGGGCCCATGTACCCAGATAGTATATACTTTGTCCCCGACGAGCCTATGTAGGGAATACTTTCAGCCCAAAGTAGGTACTACTTTTAGGGGTTACCCACCTCTGCCGCTGCCTTTCTTTGTCCAGGCTTCGTTCGAGGCGAACCTGTCGGACCCGCCGAAGGACGTGTGGTCCAGAGTGGCATTGTGTGGGGCCCGAAAACCCTAACTTTATGAGTTGTATATGGGGGTTTCCGAAAATAGGGGACCCTAACATAGTACCCTAAATAATAGGATCCCTATTATAAGGACCCCAATATAGGTACCCTAATTTTCTGAAACTCCCATATAGGGTCCATTTGTTTTTTCGGCTACAGGCCGGGTTTGGGTTTTCCTGTTTAGGGTTCAGGGTGTCCAGCCCCTTTAATTAAGCCCTAAAAGTGGCCCTAAACCCTAAAGGAGTAGGGTGTGGGGCGGTTTGTGTTGAGGTCCCACCTGCAAGAGGCCGTTGCCCAGAAATCAAGAATTAGCCCCTTCCGGATAATCTTCAACCCACGAAGCCTCGGACATAAATCCCACACCCTAAACCCTAAACCCCAACTGCTGCTCTCAAAGTCAAGCCTGGACTCTGTATATAAGGCCTAAACCCTGAACCTAGGGCGTTCCAGCCTGCAAGTGGGGATCCGGCGACACTCCTCTCACCTTATTAGGCCTCCATGTCACGTAGACTCTTCATGGCATATGGGTGCTTCAGTCATACAAACAGGACAGCGGTTTAGCTTGAGTGTTTTATGCTATCACGATTTAAGATTTACGGCTGTATCAAACCTGTTTAACCCAAACGGTCCTAAGTACGTATATTATAGTAGTATGTAGCGTTTCTAGAATACTTAGGAAGTGCTATCATGGCTTGGGCAAGTATCCCCGATATAGGTACCAGGTACTAAGGACCCTTTGGGTACTAAACCCTCAACCCTAAACCTTAAACCCTAAACCAGTCTGTTTGCTGGCAATGCACCGCAGGAGATGTCTCCAAAGAAGAAGGCAGCAGCAACCCCGGAGGCCTGAACAGTTATCACATAGGGTTTACCCAAAGGGTCCAAAGGACCTAATAATCATGTACTTGGCTTACGGATAGTAGTTTTGTAGGTTAGGAATCAGAAGAGTATATGATTATTAGGTATTTGGACCCTTATGGTAGGGCTTAGGGCTTGTAGGGTTTAGGATTTAGGGCCTACAGGGTTTAGGGTTTATAGCGTCTAGGGCTTACAAGGTTCAGGGCTTATAGGGTTTATGATCATTGTCACTGTGTTTGTTCTATCGGCTCCCCTTGCTGTTTTGTCTCGAGTCTAGCGCTTACGACTGTCTTCTTTCATTTTTTCTTATTATGGTTTTCTTTTGACGAGGCTATCACCATTGCTATCGATTCAGAAACCTGCAGCTATGTGTCAATGATGCATCCGACACGAAACAGCGCGCAATTACTCCGGCATTGCAGCGGCGTGATTGTTACAAGCTGTGTGAAGATTAACAAAAATGTGCGACGCACTATCAGGTGGATCCCTTAGCAGCTGCAAAGGAAGGTTTCGTGATGATCCCAATACCCCAAGGGTCCATGTTCTCATGCAGGCTATACTTTGGCCTTAAAATAGTTCCTACACAGGCACTTTGGGGGCTAAAACCTGCATTATTTGGATACGGACCTTAAAGGAACCCTTAAAGGAGACCCGTAAAGGAGCCCTTGAATGAATTGGCTTAGAGTCTGTGTGCTTCGGGATACTTCAAAGGCTTGTTTTCGCCTTTCCCGTGTGGGTAGGGTTTAGGGTAAGGGTTTAGACCAGAAGCCCTAAACCCTAAGCCCTAAATCCTAAACCCAAAACCCTTGGGTTGAGGTTTAGGGCTAGGACGCTCGGTATGGCTGACTTTGCCGTCTTCACATACCCTAAACCCTAAACCCTAAACCCCTAAACCTGCTTTAGGGTTTAGGGTTTAGGGTTTCCACAACATCCAGGCCTTGAGACTCAAAGATTTCCCAAAGAGGGTATCCTGAACCTCACTGTAGCCACGATCCTACTCTGAGGGTCCATGTACCCAAATGGTACATGGGAGTTTCCGAAAGTAGGGGACCCCAATATAGTACCCTAAATAATAGGATCCTTATTATAAGGACCCCAAAATAAGGTACCCTAATTTTCGGAAACCCCCATATGCTTCGGTGGGCTCAGTAGAGCACGGACGCAGTACGCGTGTTTGCCCTGAAGGACACGTCTGCAGAGAGTCCTCGAGTCACCGGCGTGCGACTGCCGTTGTGGGTTTAGGGTTTAGGGTTTAGGGTTTCTGTTTGCCAAGAGTTCTGGGCCTTGCCCAAGCGCAACCAAGATGCCTATCTGTGGTCGCTCGTGTCTTCTCCACAGCGACAGAAAAGGAAGTACCAAATCGAGGGCCGAAGCGTTTGCCGGTCAGCATTTCTGTCCATGTTGGGAATCGGACGTGGCCGACTCCACCGAGGCAGCACCCGCTTTCAAGGGCTGGACGAGCGCAGTCGTGTTTGTCACGGCCCCCGTGACTCCAAGAAGAGCCACGCAGTGGTGCATTTTCTGGCCATGCTCTACTTCTCCAGGGACCTATATAAGGACTACTTTAAGGCCAAAGTATGTACTACTGTTGATGATACAAACTCTGCATTATCTTAAATACTCGAGACTATGGGAATTATGGTATATTCCTTACGATGGGTAATGCAGGCTTTATCTCATCAGCCATATTTGGGTACATGGACCCTTGGGGCAATCCTTGGGCCCCATGCATCCCCGCTGAAGATCCGAAGGCGGGTGGGAACCGATCATCGGATGCTGGAAGGTTGAGGCGAGAAGTGTTGAGGGCTTCCCCTATAAGGCCAAAAGGCTTCAGGGTTTAGGGTTTAGGGGTCACTATAAGACCTTATAGCTTCAGGGTTTAGGATTAGGTCTCCGGGTCTGCGATACACAGGCCTCAGGGCTTACGACTGGTCTACGCAGGATGACAACAACCCATTTAAAGACTTTAAACTTTAGGCCTAGCACGCCCGGCTGAGCGGATATACTGAAAAGCCGAATAACAGGAGCTGGAGGTATACCGCCTAAAGTCTAGACCCTAAGCCCTCAACCTGCACCAGGAGCTGGAGGAGCACGAGGAGAAGCGGCAGAGATATCGCCTTCGGGCGACTGGGCTGTTGTATCTGGCGGGGTCTTTGGCTGTCTTAGAGCTTCGGGGGCCAAGCGTAAACTGTTTTGGAGTTACCCGGACCCTATGAAGCTTTTTCTTTAGGGTTCCCTATTATGATTTCCTTAGAAAAGTCCTTAAACAAGTTTGGGGTTGACGTATACTTTAACCCTAAGCCTTTGAGGCCTATATACGGTAGATTTAGATCGCAATTCTTTCTCTCGCCCTAAGCCACAAACCCTAAACCTCAAAACCTGAACCCCACACCCTAAACCAAAAAACAAACCCTAAACCCTAAACCCTAAACCCTAAACCCTAAACCCTAAACCCTAAACCCTAAACCTCAAACCCTAAGCCCTAAACCTTAAACCCGAAACCCCAAACCCTAAACCCCCTCAAGTCGAAAACCCAATCCCAAGCTCAGAGTCCCAAATTAGGGTCTAGGCTTTAGGGTTTAGGGTGTTTAGGGTTTAGGGTTTAGGGTTTAGGGTTTAGGGTTGATGAGCAGCCGCAACAACAACCCTAAGGGTCCATGTGCTCATATAGTTTACTTTAGCCTTACAGTAGTCCCTATATGAGTACTTTTGGGGTCAACGTAGATTTTATCTGGGTGTGTGGACACTTATGCCAGCAACAGCGATGCTACCATGTTGGACCTACATGTGTGATCACCTAGCAGGAACAATTAGACAGTCTATGGTGCAAGACATACCCTAAACCCTAAACCCTAAACCATTTCCATGCCTGCTACCTGAATCCCGGTTCCTCTTCCACGCTATATAGGCCCCTAACCCTAACTCTCGACTCCAAGCGCACTCTCCACTGTCAACGTTTGAAACCCAAGGTGATGGGCAACATACGCTTCATTGGCCAGCTTCTTGTGAAGAAGCCTACCTTGCCTTTGTTTTATCATGTCTTGGCTGGTGGGTCTCTGGGGTGTAGCTGAGGGTTTCGATGCACTTGCCGAAACCTCCCCGTCCTTGCTGGCAACGTCCGGGGGAAGTAATATAGGAGCGTGAGCAAGTACGTATGCCAACACAGTTGCAAAGGCTTCCTCAACATGATTTCAGTGTTCTGCACCCCACCACCCTATTCTAGACGCATATTTATAAGGGGCCCACTTATAGATGAACCATGTTTGAAGGATCCCTTTAAAGGAGCCTCTTCTAGTTATTCAGGCCCCCGTAATATCCCCGTGCATTACTGGATTTTCTTGAGGGCTTATTGTTTTGCAGAGTGTAGAGTTTAGGCTTACAGGGGTGAGGGAAATCTGGCTAACGGTGTTTAGGCTTCCAGGGTTTAGGGACGTCTGGTGTGACTTTCTGGCGGCAATGGTTTGCCGCGTCGGGTGCTTTCAGCGTTGAGGGCAAATGGCTCGGGGTTTCGAGGATCCCTTGTTGAAGGCAAAACGCATGTGTGCCACAGTTTCTGTTGTTGATTGCAGGCTCTTTTGAAGGAGGGGCACAGGCTGTTATATCGGTGTCATTCGAGATTTTTCTATTGCCCGCAATCAGGGGCCCGATTCCGGAGCCATGTCTTTCGGTTCACTAGTAACATTGACAGTAGCTCGTGTGGAAGCAGAAAGCTGTTTCGCATTGAGCCAGGATGGTAGCTTCGAAAATTCTTACTGCGTGCACAACCGCTTGGGCCTTGATGTGGTGCGTTGCGGGCTGGCCACGGAGTGCTTGTAATAGCTTTAGCGTCAGAATCCCTAAAGCCCTACGACCTTCAGCCGGTACGGCGAAAATAGAGTCAATAACTCATCCACCCGCAGCCCCAGTGATGTAAAACCCCTGAACCCTTCATCACCGAAGCCTCACCACCGCAGCCTCGACGGTTGAGGTAAGGTGCAGGGATACTTGTTCTTGTGTTATGGTGTTGCTTCGGGTGTCGGGTCTTGGGTCTGAAGTTCGAAGGTTTGTGGCCATCGGCTCGGTAAAGGGATAGCTTTGAAGTACTTGTAGCTGTAGAGTTAAAAGCGAAACCCATGTCAGGATTGTGAGAGGACCCAAACAAGGAAAAGCCCTTCAAGCCCCAATCCCCGACAAACAGCGTCGAGTGCACGCCTAACCAAGTCTTAGCTTCCCCCACTCAAACCTGAATCTGAAAGCTTCGAAACGGTTCCTAAAGTTCGTAGAACATATCTAGAAATAAGATCTTTGTATTGTCCTCTTGTGTGTGGACTATACTTATCCTGTAATGTATACCCCATTTATCCCTTCTCCACAGAAGGACAAGACTGAAACCTTCCGAAGGCCGAACATGGACTGCATGAAACGTTCATGACGTTTTATGGGTCTAGGGTTTACACGTTTACACTACACTACAACACACTGCAATGCTGTAGGTTCCGATTACGAACCCCAACATACAGTTTATAGGGGCTCTACACAAGAGTAGGTTTGGGTTCAAACCCCCCAAACCCTAAACCCGTAGGGTTTATGATACCCTAAACCCTAGACTCTAAACCCTAAACCCCAAACACTAAACCCGTAGGGTTCATGGACTGGGTCTAGGGTTTGGGGGGGAACTTGGGAAAGGGTTCAGGATTTCTCGGCACGGTTTAGGGCTTAGGGTTTGAGGTTTAGGGTTTGGGGTTTGGGGTTTAGAGTTTATAGGGTTTCGGGTGTATGTACAGAGTCCTCGCGGCGGGTGCGCCTTTTACCTTTTTGGAATAGGGGCGCGCCCACTCATCGCGCGTTTGCATCAGCATGTAGTCCCGCCCCAACCACCCCAACTATTCTCAATTAGGGTTCAGAGTTCAACCCCCAAACCCCCTCAAGGGGGGCTTTCTTGCTCTCTGCTTCCCCTCGCAGTTCGACACCTAAACTAAACCCTAAACCCTAAACCCAAACCCCAGAGGTCGCCCGCAGGAGGCCCAAACTAGGCTGGCTGGCCATTCTTTCCCCAGACCGCCCGGGCGTACCCCCCAAACCCCCCCCCAAGAGACGGTCAGCGTCGCTCTCGGCTTTAGGGTGAGAGCCAAACAGCACTGAAACCTTACCAGACAAGTCGCATTCGGACGCCCCACGAGTCTATACGACTTTGTACAGCCGGAGAAAACTCCTGCAAAGCCCTTATAGCACCCTTGCGAAAGCTAATGTCGGGGCTCACGTAATTACATTACTGTTTTGAGGTTCCTTATTATAGTTGGAGTAGAATATACCCCAAAAACGTTATTCTGATTATTACGACGCCTGCACAAACCCTTAGAGATCCCTGTAAAGGGACCCTTTTTAAGGAACCCTACTCGTATTACTATTCTAGTGATTAAGGCACTAGAGGTCTGAGTCCCCAAGCCCTAAACCCTAAACCCTAAACCCTCAGCCCTCTAGTCTCCAACTCTGAGGCTCTGCTGAAGGAGGCGTCGCAAAGCTCCCTGGAAGCCTTGGCAGGGGCCTCGGGGCGCTCTGAAGGTTCCGGTTTCATAGTGTAGCTGGGTTTTAGAGCTTATGGAGTTTAGGGTGTGGTAAGGTTTGGGGTTTCCTTAGGTTTAGGGTTTAGTAAGGTTTTAGGGCTCATAGAGATCAGGGTTTGGTAAGGCTTGGGGTTTAGTAAGGTTCAGGGTTTAGGGTTGGGGGTGGTGTAAAGCAACTCTAAGCCTTATAAACTCTAAAGTTGACAGGTTTAGAGTTCCAGGCTGTGGTTTAGGCTAACGCGACCCTTAACGACCATGGGTTTTGGCATAGTTTAAGGGTTTCGGGGGGGGGGCTAATGACGTCCACTCGACCGTCGTCGTAAGCAGCAGCACCACCACCAGCACCACCGACCACCGCCGACACCGTCCACGTCGTCGTAAGCAACACCACCACCAACACCACGTCGTCGTAAGCAGCACCACCACCAGCACCACCGACCACCGCCGCGAACACGTCGTCGTAAGCACTGTAAACTACTCGGCGCATTGTGTACATTTGCCGTGTGCCGGCTTCCAGGAACTGACATGTCTGAGAAGCTAGAAGCTCGCAGACCATCAGACGAGCCATACTCCTCCCGCTAACTTTATAATAACAGCAAAACATAGCAAAACTAAACACTCCTAGACGAGCCCTGTCGAGCTCCTCAGAAGCAGCTATGGACGGAGCTGAGTCGGCTGGCCGACTCGAAGAACAAGGACTACAAAAAGTGACAAAAAGAAGGCACAAGAAAGGGTGCCTACTGAAATTCGCTTCGCCAAGCTACAAATATACCGCCAAAACCTGTGTCTTGTGGCTTCGGCAAGCCAAAGCCTGGTAAAAGTGATGTTTTCGAAGCATCCAAAGCAAACCGTGTAGTCAAGCCTCTGCACAAAACCACACGTTTACTGACATTTCCTGAAAACGCCGCCGCCGACCATGGTGCCAAAACACCATGGTCACTAAAGGGCGCGTTACCTTTAGGGCTTTAGGGACAAGGGCTTCGGGCTTAGGGACACACCCTGACCTTAAGGGTTTAGAGCATCGCAGATCCCCTCCGGCAAAGTTCGATGGTGTTCGGCTCCGGGTTGAGGGTTTTGGTAGACCCTAAACACTAAAGGTTTAGGGTTTAGGGTTTTAGGGTTTAGGGTTTACTAAAGCCTAAACGCTACCTGAACCCTGAACCTTGAGGGCTAAAACTTTGGCATCGAAAGCCGCAACTAACCTTTCCCGAATGCCCTCAACCCTCGACACTAGGGTTTAGATTTTTGGGGTTTGTGGTTTAGGGGTTTGGGGTTTTGGGTTTTTAGAGTTCATCAACTTGAAATCTCCAACCCCACGCCCCAGCACACTAAGCTCCCAACTAAATCGGCACAAAGAACACTGAGCCCGAAGCCCCTCTACCGTACAGCTCCAACCATAATCAACCTAAGCCTCAAACTTATTGAGGCCAGCCTCTTGACAATCACCGGCAAGGACGCTGCTTTTGGGATTCGGGATTCTAGGGAAGGTTGGGCAATTAATCAGTCCGGCTTTGAGGGAGGGTTAGAGCAGCGGTGATCTTCAGTGTCCTAATTGTCTCGGTGGACATACCGATTGTTAGATGCATCGGTAGGTAGATACTTCTGTTCTACAGTCTTTGTCGGTACACCTGCGCACCACAAGCCATAATACGGGGGCCTGGTTTGTTGGTTAAAATAGCGGTCTTGCGTACATTTTTTTTTGCCCTAAAGTATATACATGAGGGACATGGAGGGATTACAGGGGGATACTGTTACTACTTAGTCTGACCTGTATATTAAACGAGCCGACCAGCACAATGCCTATTATGAGGCTTCAGGGTTAGCGTAAACGCACAACAGAAGGATCGGTTGGTAAATACTGCTTATCCAATGCACCTCTGCAGTGGCAGATAAGGGGCTTTGATTATTGTGAATAGGGTGTTGGCGTACACCGTAGAACGTATTATACGTTGTTTACATGAGGGACCATATGGATCGTCATACTGTGATATTGTTACTAAGGGTTGGCGACATGACAGCATCTGATAATCGTCCCTAAGCCCTAGTCACTCTAGCCCCTGGGCCTTAAACTTTAAAGCCTAATCTCTGCAAATGAACCCGTAAACTCTATACCTGAAACCGTCAAACTCGACTGTAGAAGCCCACAAGTTGGAAACGCAATAGCGTAAGTCCTTAAGAATAGTGTATAGGGAATCTGCAGAATCCCAGCACTAATTGTCCTGAATCTGGTTTCCAACTGTGTCGGGTTTTCTACACCTCGATCCGTAGATTCAGCCCTATAAACACGAAACCCTAAACCCTACAAGCCAATCTGGGGCACAAGGAGTTTGATCTTCCGACGTGGCAGCCGGGATCCTACCGGGGAGCTTTAGGAATGGCGTGTGTCACGTTGGAATACTTTCCGGTTTAAGGTTTTGGGCTTAGGGCTTAGTTCAGAGTTGTGGGTTTAGGGTTTTGGATTTGGGGTTTGAGGTTTAGGGTTTAGGATGTGGGGTTTACGTGGCTCAGAAGTAGGATTTTGAAAAGGGATGCTTAAGTTCGGGTTTAGGGTTTGGGTTTCAGGGTTCAGGGTTTTCTGTTTTGTGTGTCATGCGGCTTATGCTTGAGGCTTCCACTTCCAGTAGACCCCCATCACATACTCCCAAAAGACTCCCCTCGGGGTCCAAGTGCGTAATAATCATATCTCCTTTTACATGCTAACCCTGAACCTTAACCCCTTATCTTAAATAATTATCCGAAACCCAGGTGCCGAATCATTCAGGGGCCTTTGCTCAAGGCCCCTATTAAAATGAAATCCTGACAGAACCCGTATAAGAACCCATAGGCCCTGATAAATGTAGGGGCCTGAATAAGTAGAATAGAGTTTGAGGCTCTTTTAAAGGATTCCTCAAAGGGTTCTATAAGCTACTATATAAGGGTTTAGGGTTTGGGGGGCCTGAATAATTAGACTAGGGTTTGGGGTATATTATACTATAATTATAATGAGGAACCCTCAAAACCCTATTCTAATTATTAAGGCCCCTACATTCCAAACCCGAAACCCTAAACCCTATAAACCCTAAACTCTAAGCCCTATAAACCCTAAACCCTAAACCCAGACCCGTAGCATTCCCGGGACCCTGAACTTCAAGACACTGCGATGCGGGGTCTATTTTGAACTGTGGGCCCGCTGGGAACCCGCTTGCGATTTAGGCGTATAGGGTTTAGGGTTGAAGGATTTAGGGTATATAGGGTTTAGGGTTTCGGGTTTAGGTAATGCCACTTTGTATCTGATGTTTTCGCAAGACGCCATGTGGAGCTAGAAGCAAGCATCAGCATCTTATCTCAAGTCAAAAAGGCCCGACACACCTTCCACATCCACAAGACCATGGGTTGTATAAGCGTTTTATATGGGCCTGGGGTTTGAGTATATGTTTTGGCCTTCAACTATTTGTTCGTAGGAGCACCTTTCAGGCCAATGCATGACCCGGCTTTCCGAACCCTTAACCCATAAACCCTAAACCCTAAACCTTAAACCCTTAACCCTAAGTCTAAACCCTGAACCGCTAAACCCTAAACCCCTAAACCCTAAACCGCTAAACCCTAAACCCTAAGGTCGAAAGTACCCCGCCATAGACTCCGGCATCCCCAGAGGATCAAACCTTAGCTTCGCCCGATAACTTCAAGGAATATGCTTTAACTATCTTGGGTCTAGGGTTTAGGGTTTAGGGTTACTTGAACTACGTAAGGGGTATTGGACTCTCTTAAACCCCAAACACGAAAACTTAAGCCTCAAAAGCTCTAAATGTCATGGAGACCCTAGAACAATTCCAACTTATAAGCACCGGGAACATCTGTGGTATCCAAACCCTAAACCCTAAACCCTAAACCCTAAACCCTAAACCCACTGCTTCAAAGCCCACCGCTGGAGGGCCCAAGGCTTCGTACTGTGCCTTTGCCTTAAAGCATCAACCCTAAGCCCTAGGGATTAGGGTTTAGGGTTTAGGGTTTAGGGTTTAGGGTCCTAAGCCTAAGCGTCTATGTATCCCGAATCTTGTAAAGGGCTGCATAGCTGTTTACGGGTTTTTAACCACGTTTTCTTGTAGACGGGGCTTACTGGGGTTTGATGGGCACAAGGACCCAGGACCCTAACGCATTTAGTTCTGCTTTTTCCCCGATGGGATGGCATCTCTTGTGCCACAGAAGCCTTCAACGCCACCTCCCTTTTCCAAGGCACCTTGTCTGCACAAGGTCTGGAGTTTAAAGTTTAGGGGCTTAGGATTGAATGGTTTTAGGGCTCAAGGGGTTTAGGGTGGGGTTTTGGAAATCAGGGTTCACGCTCCATCTTCCAAGGCGCCGCGTCGGAACATGATTCGTGCTACCCCCTCGGCCTCTCCACTGCACTGCGGCGCGAGTTCCAAATCCAGTCCAGTCGTTTTGGATTTGGTGGCCGTTCCAGAATCTGCTACGAGCCCACCGGCATCCATCAGCATGCTGTCACAGGTTCTGTCGGACGCGCACCAAAGCAGGGTGCACTTCGAGGACAACCCCGAGATCATTTTGTTTCTGAGTGGTGACGAGGACTCCCCCGAAGAGCTTCCTGCGGTTACCGAGGAAGATGAGCGCGCAAACTCAGATGAAGCTAGGTCTTCCCAGAACCCTTTTTGACTTTATGCTTTTGCGCGGGGGTATTGAGGCTTGGCAATGGGAAGAAGGCTACCTAGTCCCTAAGGGTCCGAGTACCTAATAATCATACACTCTCCCAAATATTAACCTAGATAACTACTATCCGCAACCAAAGTACCTCAAAAATTATTGGGTCCTTTGGACCCTTAGGGAGTTCTCAAGGGGACGTGATCACATAGGGACCTAGGAGATCAATCAGCCAAGCTCCTCCACACCGGCGCCGCCAGAGACGGGCCAGACTCCGATGGCAGTGCCAGGGATACCACCAGCTCCCCATGACTTGTGTGAAGGAGGCCTGGCAGACCTGGCAGCAGCCGCTTGATTAAAACAAGGTTGGCTTCTGGTTACACGGTTTAGGGTTTAGGGTTTAGGGTTTATAGGGCTTAGACGGTAAAATACTCCAGAACCCTTTTCTACTTCTGACAGGCCCTGTTTGCGCTGCGTAAAGGAGGGACGGCCCACCGCAGCCTCCGCAAACCGAGGAAAGGCGCGCCGCCATGCTCAGGAAGCTCTTCCCGCCTCAAGACCCAAGTGAGCCCTGAAAGGTAAGGGAAGACGTGCACCACAGTAGCATGAAGAGTGTGTCCCCAACATTCTCTTAGCAACGGTCAATTGAGCAGAAAATGCTCAACACGCACGAGGTTCATTTTTATGACGCAGTTTCGATGTCCGCTGAAACAGCGCAATCGAAATTTTTGAGGCAGAGATAAGCTTCCTATGAAATCTACCATGCATAGCTTTCTCTGCCTTCAGCTGGTGTCTGAGTGTGAGTGCTTCTCGAACCATTGTCTTCATCAACTCACGGAAAGCCCAAACCCAAAGAAGCCCCCAGGCACGAACCCCACTTCCTTGGCTGTGACACCTTCGGGCTTATTGTCTAGGTTCCTGAGTAGTACCCTTTTTGAATTGTTTGTTCTTCTGTATGGTTCCCTTATTTAAAACTGAATAACAGGAAAAAAAGATACCCTTCTTACGGGGTCACTCAGGAACACAGTTGTGTTTCCCGCGACAGCGATCGTGAGCAGACGGCTCGCGTCGCTTCTTTGAGAGTTGTACAGTGCAGTCCTTGCCTGAACTAGGCCTGTCTATGGCATAAGTGTGGCCCTGTCAGCTGTTCAGCTCTATAAAGCCCAGACCCAGCTGTTCGGTCGCCATCACAGTGTGATGGAACGAGCTGCGGGCTGGATGCAGAACGAACGACACAGATTCGGTCCCCCGATGTCTGGGGTCGAATGAACAGCTGTTCGCCATGTGGGAATATTCTGAGCTTCTTATCACATACCAGGTCATTACCGTAGGATGCCATGACATTTCAACACAAGGTGGGGTCATTTCCGCAGGCGGCACGGTCAACGCTGCAAAACCCCTTGTTTCACCAGGTCATGCCGCCGGGTATGTAGCTCCCGTGTATCGTGGAGTTTGTCGTTTTCCCAGGCTGCTGGTGATGAAAGCACCAGTGCAGGTCTGAGTATATATGTGGTCTCAAGAGGTCGTGCAGTTCTTCCCGTCAAGCCTCTTACTCTACCGGAACTCGCCGAAAAGAGTCCGATGAGGGTGGCCCTAAGGGTCCATGTGCTCATGTAGTAGATACTTTGGCCCTCCAAGTAGTCCCTATATACCCAGACCTCCCAATATCCTTGAAAGAAGGAACATGTCTTAAATCATAGTAAGCTCCCTGATATCCTTTATGGTATACTCTTGGAAGCCTGGGTGTCTTGAGCGCAAGGTATACTATTAGGTTACATGGGCCCATAAAGTGGGGCTACACTGGATATGGTGAGAGCCCGGACCTTTGGACATCCCTTAATTAGTTCAGGAAAGGAGTATAAGTTAGTTCATGTCAATTCATATAACGGATCCTACTCTAATTTCAGGTATACATTCCTTATGATTCAGGGATTTCGGAAAGTATCGGAGTGCAGATTCGGCGTATTTTGTGGGTTCTTCAGGAGGAAGTTGGCGGCTGCAGAGGTTTGCAGGGGCAGGGTCTTCTGCATGTTGTGAACCGCCACGACAACAAAACCCGAATTACCCTGAACCGTGAACCCTTCAAAGTCTTAAAATCGTATCCGTCGGAACACTCGTAAAACAATCTTGGAGCTCCCCTAGCACCTCCCTATAAACGGTCGGAAACCGTAAGATGCTTTGGTTCACTAATCTTCGAGAGTTTGCACTTCTGACAGCATATTTTGTAGGCTATACTTCCTCGAAAGACTTTCAGAGAAAATCATGATCCAAAGCCTGGTGCGGACCGCGAGCCCGCATGCATCCCCCTTAGCTGTCTCGTTCCAAGACTCCCGGACACGACTCGTGCGGAATTTCCCCCTTGGCTTGTTTATCTCCTCGACGCAAACCCCAACGGTGCAGGACGCTTAAACCCCGAACCTTATTTTGGTTTAGGTTTTAGGGTAACCCTAAACCCTAAATCCTAAACCCTCCTCCATGAGGTAGCGCTCCGGGGGTCCGCATCGCAGTCGCCCGCATCATCCTCGCCCATGCAGCTCACTTGTTCCCGTCGATGTTCGTCTCTCTGTCGTGGACTGCACCTTCATATGCTGCCCCCCACCTATCATTTAAACAAAGGTTCCTTACCCTAAGGGTCCAAGTGCCATTATTTCAGGACTTTGGGGCCTTTTTGGGTACCTACAACCATAAATAAGGGCTACTTGGACCCCTAGGGT